TGACCCATACAACCAGGGATCCCACCGGAAACCCCAAAGGGGGTGTACTGTTTCCCCACCACGTCGGGCTGAACAGCCTGAGGCAAAAAAGAAACAGTAGCAGGTCCAAAAAGAGAACCACAGTCCTCTGAGCTTGGACGAGACAGACAGGGTGCGTCGGTTATTGGACTTGTTGGATGGTGTTGCCACGGACAAACAACCTAACGCTTTGTTTGGCGATATCATTGCTGATAAGTCAGAGCACACAGACAACACCGTTACTGCTGTCACAGACAGTCACCAAGACACTGTTGTTGTAAACTCTGACACGCCCTCACCTAAAATAGGGGGGGGGGTACAATCACACATCACTGACGGTGACCCGTCACAATCTGAAACCTCAGAAACAGCAATAGCTGTGCTAACGGTTCAGTCAAAACAGGGTGACACAAACAACAATGCTGCCGCTGTCATGGACAGCCACCAGAAACTTGTTGTTACAAAAAATGAGAGCCCCTCAACACACGGTGAGCGGGTGATCTCATACATCAATGATGGAGGCCCGTCAAAAGCCGAACTCTCAGGAGCAGCAGCAACTGCACCAACAGTTTGGAAACACCAGGATTACACAGGTAAAGGTGAACGTAAGAAGAAACTTTGGCTAAAACCTACAAGGTTCCTGTGTAACCTGATCAGAAAGGGGGTCGCTAATAAAGCTTACCTGTCGATCACACTTGAAGGGGTCATCACACATGTAGCCCTACTGGATGGTGGAGCCGACATGACTATTATGTCAGCCAAACTGTTCGAGGAGCTCAGGACTGCCGCTAACGGTGTTCACAGGGAAATACCTCTCATAGAATGTGCTATAGGACTGCAGGGCCTCGCAGAGACGAGGACAACCCTAATAGCTATAGCTATGGTTCACATGCAGGTTGGTGAGATGACACTATATCACTGGGTACATGTGTCTCCGGTTGACTTATTCATTAGCTAATCCTTAAGTTGAGTCTTGCCATAGACTCCAAAAACATTTAGGGGGAAACCAAAAAACCAAACCTCAAGTCGTTTGTCTAAAGGGACAACAGACAATTGAACCAAACTATATTTTGCCATGTAAATCTAACTTAAACCTAGTGTAGTGAACTTAACCTGATGTCAAAACTAAGCCTAAGGTCAAAACCCTTGACCTTAAGAACCTTGTGGGACAGAAACTGTCATTTCATTGATTTGAATCCAGAAATACAGGTTCACCCATCCTGAGACTTTCTTTCTTGAAAATCAAGTGAAAGAACACTCTCTTTTCTATTATCATTCCTGTTTTACAAATGTTTGATAATCAAAGTGTTTTAGTTCAAACATTTTAGATGTTACAGTGAACTAATCAATTTTATTAACTGTAAAACAGTAACAATGATTTTTTAGTTCCTCATGCAAAGTTAGATTTCATGTTAAGGCCTGTTACAGAGTAATCATGCATTTTCTGATTTCTGTCTTTGAATGAGCAAGTGTGCATTTTCCAAGGTCAGGAGTCGAAGCAGACATGTGTTGGAACAACTGTCTTGTTTACATCCTCTCAGACGTCAACAGAGAAGTTGGCACCTGTTTCTCCAAACTCGCCAAAAACAAAACTCTCTCTGTCTCTGAGAACAGTTTAATCTGTTCCATAACAATTCTTGCTGTTTTCTGACTTCTAGTAACCTCTTACGTCACAAACCACACCCCTGTCCGGTTGATATTGACCAATCAGGGACTCCCAAATGGACCGGGAATAGAGCTCTTTAAAATGCCGGTACTTCCTAGTTCTCTCAGTTCGGTGAGGCGCTGAGAAGTTCTGAGATGTTCGCAGTTCTGTGAAGTCGTTTGGGAGAACAGAAGTCCAGCCATGATAAGGCTCTTCCGAGTTGGATTATAACATCTTCCACCTCTGAGTGGAACTTCTGAAGGACTCCACTCATGTGAAGTCCACTTGCTGATGTGAGCTTGTGTCGGACGGAATCTCGTCACTACTTCGGACGAGTCACAGCCATCCTATGGAGACGCTGGACAGGTAGCGTTAACTGGAACTCCATATCTGCTGATTTATCTTCAGAAAGGTAATGAGTCAAGTTTCCTACCAAGCGTACCGAGGAAAAGCTGGGTTCGAATGGAGAGTGTCGGTTCTGGTCAACACTCCCCCTCACACACCATCTTTTACTCCCTTTAAACTTCATTTCCATCTTTAAATCCTTCTATCAAGTAGAAATCCTTCCAGATAATTTAGAAATGTCTGTGTAAAGTGCTCATCCACCGCCGTGTGGATAATTGATCATAATTGTACAGTTTTCATAAATGTCTGGGGTGAAGCAACGGAAAATCATGTCCGTATGGTTTTCCTGGTTGTAAAGCTGATTGATTATGTTGTTATTTTCATATTTTGCCAAATTAATGTAAATGTTTGATGTTAAACTTTGATTCTGTAAAATAAATGACCGCATTCATTTTGATGGGTCAAAGAAAAATGACGTCTCACGTTACATTTCATTAAATTCAATGCACGTTTTATTCAGTCCAGAAAAATGAAGAATCCGTTTTAATTGATGAATATATCTCAGCATCTGTTCATCTACACTAGTTAGGAATGGAAAAATAGTTTGGAATGCCCTTCTATAGGTATAAATCCCTATATAAATGTTTCAGCATGACCCACCCTTTAAACTTGTAACTGTAGCTGATCTAAACCATGATAGCTTACACACCAGGTGCATATAGGTTAAGGTCTTATGTAAAATCCCACTCAAAAGCCCACCTAAAACCACATAAATGCATAACACATAGAACCAGAATGGCACCCACTGGGAACCACCAGCAGCAGCCTTCGCTGAAGGGACCTACAACTCCAATGTGGGTCTCCAATCTCTATCCAGTGGTCGCCTCTGCAGTTCAATCAAGGGAACCCTCTGCATGCTGATCAATCAACACTTCCAATCGTTGTGGATTTATCGTTGTGGATTATATGACTTTTTCCAATGGATTACAGACTTTGTTTCCAAGGGGTTAAAGCATTGCTACAATGGAATTACCAATAACATCATGGAATTACCAACAACATTGTGGAATTACCTAAACCGTTGTGGGATTACCTTCTTTGACTTTTGTTTTCCTCTTGCTGGGTTATATCAAGATCAAGGAAGAATGGAGGCGTAAGTTCACGTTGTAATTCTTCCCCATGGACAGGTGATGATTTCCAAAGGGGGGACTGTAGTGAACTAGGCATCCGACCAAAACCTGCCTCTGAAGACCTTCATGGGACAGGAACTGTTATTTCATTGATTTGAATCCAGAATACAAATTAGCTCATCCAGAGACTGTCTAATTGTATCCTGAAGTAATCAATTGAAAGAACACTCTTCTTTTTATATTATCATTACTATTTTACAATATCTTGATAATCAAAGTGTGTTTAGTTCATATCATTTCTAATGTTGAAGTGAACCAATCATTTTAAATCAACTGTGAAACAGTATTAATGATTTTTTTAACCCTCATTTAAATTAGAAATCAAGTTAAATGTCTATTTACAAAGTAATTATGCATTTTGATTTTCTGTCTAAAGGAGAAGTAGTGATGTCGGTCGAAAGTCAGAGACAGTCAGAAAAGAAGTTATTAGAACGGGCTGTATTGTTTTTAAACCTAGCAGACAGTAAAAAGAGAAACAATGGCATCTGCATGTCTCACTTCGCCATAACCTTTATCTGTCTGTACTAAACATTCCTAAACATTTCTTGCTGTCTTTTTGACTTTTAATAACCCACTGACATCACTAGAACCACCCCCTGTTGGTTGTTTCAACCAATCAGGAAGTCCTGAGTGACCAGAAGTGAGAACTCTTTAAAAGTCCACACTTCCTGGAACTATTCAGTCTTCTGGAGTCTACTCCGTCTTCTGTAGTCTTAACTGTCTTCTCAAGTTATTCTGAGTTCTTCTGAAGTCTTGGATCTGAGTTGAATTCAGTCTTTGATAGAGTCTTCTCAAGGCTTGTGGAGTCTTCCACTTCTGAGTCGAAACTCTTGACGGACTCACAGCGACTTGCTGTGAATCTACCCGGGTGTAACGCCTCCAACCTCGAAGGGAGCTGAGCCTGTTTGTTGAACGGAGTAAACCGACACGACTTCTGACAATGACCAGCTGCTCTAACTGGAGATGCTGGAAGGTAGCGTTGATACGGACCCGACACCGGAGCTGATTTATCTCCTGCAAAGGTAATGAGTCGTCACGCGCTAAGTGTACCGGAGGTTTGAGCTGGTGATTGAAAGAAGCGTGCCAATTCTGGTCAATCCAAACATACACCTCTCTTCACCCATCTCTTCTTTAAACCTCTAAACTCCTTCCTTTAAACTCTTCTATTTTGCCAGTAATCTAGATGCCTTCAGAAATGTCTTGTTGTCTTATTAGTAAAGCGTGCCAAGTTTTATTAATCAGAACCCGATCAGCTAATCACATGTACATGTTTTGATGTTAAATTTTGATTCTGTTAAATAAATGACCACATTTATTCTGATGGGTCAAAGGAAAAATAGCGTCTCTTGTCACTGATTAAACAATCCTCACAGTTACCTCATCACATGGCATTAATTTAACTTGAAAAAGAAAGAACCCGTTATATTTAAATAATTAATTAGTTGTGAAGGTACAGTAAGCTGTCTTCCACTTTCACTACATTTAGTGGGACTGTACGTGTTTTAAATAACACATTTGGTGGGACAGTATGTCCACAGCAAAGCTGTCCTTGACACACTACAGTATCATTGCTGGCTTTGTTATTCAATGTAGTAAATATATGACAAATTTACTCTTCAGTATTTCTTAAGTGTGCTACAAGAAAAAAAGTACTAACCAGTACATACTTCTAATTTTATTTGATGGGTGTTTTAAGTATAATATATAAATGTTTCAAGTTAAACATTTTTCCAATTAAAAGCCTGACAGATTTTATAGATGTTAAAATGTTTCAGCAATCCTCAGTGTTAGTGTTTTCTTACCATTGCTGCTGGGTCCAGAGGCAAACAAAATATAGTACATTTGGTTGATGCCAGAAGTCCTTTGGGTAGAAATAGTATTCATGGAAGTAAAGGAGCAGCTGATTACCCCGCTCTGCATTGATGCTTCTATATTAGAAATGTTCCCCTGTTGGACAAAACAGTTGTTAACAATTTGAGACCATACATTTCCATCTTCCTTTGTGTAAGAACAACAGTACACAACTCTATGTTTCAGAATCAATTACCATGCTTTACCCTGATATCAACTGTAGACTAGAAACTGGGGCTTTTTTCTGTGAAAAAAAACAACAACAATTGTGTATGAAATGCTGTTTGCTTTTGCTTGAAGCTACTGATAAGGAGGCCTCAGCAAAAGTATTTGAACAGATTAAATTTGTTGGAACCGAGAATTTGAAGCCTATATGACTGCACAATTTTTTTATGCAATGTATGTGGTCGAATAGATGCTAAAATGCTTGAAATGAACTGAAGTAGTAAATGTTGAACTGAAATATACTCTTGTTTATCTCTGTTCATGTGATGTTTCTGCCCCCTTCATGCTTCAATCTTGTCCTGTCATGTTCCACTCCCAAGCTCTGTCTCTCTGCCATATCCACCTCACCCTCATCTCAATCAGCCTCATGCTCTGCACCTGCCACATGCTCTATTTAAGAGCCTTGGTTTTACTACTCTCTGCCAGATTATCAAATCCCTTGTGGTTGTAGATGTCCAGCATTATTGTCAAAGTCTTCTTGGATCACCCTGTCTTGACCTCTTGCCTGTTCTCTGGATTCCCTTTTTTGTCAGCTACTTGTCTACTCTTGTTCTGTCTTTTTGACCCTGTTGACGACCTCTGCTTTTGGCCCCTGGACTCTGGATTTTGGATCACCCCTTGGAACCGTTTCATGACCTCTGACTTCCTGTGTATAACCCCTGCTTCACCTAATTGACCTTGTCTCTGGATAAACACTTTTCTTGTCACTATTGCTACAATCCCCTGCTGCTGTGTATCCTCCTGCTGTAGTGACTTCATCCACTCAAGCTCCAACAGGTGTAGTACACCTCGCCTGCCTTAAAAGGTTAGTGGTTGTTCTTTGTTTACAAACATACCCCAGAAAACCCACAAGTCACTATCATATCTCTGCAGATTTGTTCCTGCCTCCGGACCCTGACTTCCACCAGCAACAGCATATTAATAAACACTTGAAACCTTTTCTTGTTGTTCGGCTGAGTTTTTGCATCCTAAAAAATGGTTCATGACAGTATAATCTGGCCAAATATGGATTTGATGCCGACACAAGAATGGCGGAGTGTGGAGGGAGCTATTGTAAAATTAGAAGACAATATGCAGGGAATGATGAGTATGATCCACAACTTGTCTAACCCATCTACCTCACAGGCCCATTTGCAGGTCCCTCCAGCCCCACGTTCACCTCAGTACCGCATGTCGCCTATCCACGAACCTCACCTAACTCCGCCTGAGGTGTTTAAAGGGGAACCTGATCAGTGCCACCCGTTCCTGACCCAGTGTGACATACACTTCCAACGTCAACTTTCATCTTTCCCTTCTGAGTGAGCTAAGGTGACGTATGTTATTTCATTATTGTCAGGCAAAGCAAATTTATTTTAAGGAACTTTGCAGGGTGTTTGATCCTGTTTTGTCTGAGAGAGAAGCTGCCAGGAGATTGTTTTCACTTAAACAGGGGAGGTGGAGGGTGTCAGATTACATAATTGATTTTCACACTGTTGCTTCTGACAGCAGTTAGAATGAAGAGGCTCTGTCTGACAACACCTTTTTCTAGAGCCTCAACAAGGAGATTAAGACGAGCTCGCCACTAGAGATTATCCTGAGTTTCTTAAAGCACTGGAGAACCTGGCCACATGCATTGACCTGCGCCTCATGGACAGAAGGAGGGCCAAATGAGGCAGATTTAAGATACCTTCTCGCTTCTGGGGTGAGTCTGACCACGCCACACTCAAACTCACCTACTATTGTGTTCACACCTCATCAGACAGATGAACCCATGCAGCTGGGCAGGAGCTGTCTCACCCGGGAGGAGAAGGAGAGAAGAAAAAGACTAGATCTCTGCTTTTACTGTGGGAACGTGGGGCACATTGCATCAAAGTGTCCGTGAAAAGACCAGATGCAGCAGAAGAGAGGAGAGTTCTGCTGAGTCATATTATGGGTCCTAAAGTCTCCTCATCCCTCACCTTTCCAATTGAGGTTAAAGTACAAGGAGGTAAGCACTCCTTATGTGTGTTTAATGAATCTGGTGCAGACACTGAGTTCATTGACAGAGATTTTGCTGAGTCATTAGGCATAAAGATGGTTTCCTCAGACAAGTGGCACAGGGTCATAGCGTTAGACAGACATATGTTACATCAGTCCAACCAAGAAACAGAACCCATTACTCTATCGCTCAGGGGGAAACACCATGAGAGACTAAAGTTTCAGGCCATAAACTCCCCACAACTCCCAGTTATTTTAGGAGCCACTTGGTTGGCTAAGCACAATCCCTGCATTGACTGGAGGAGCAAAGAAATTGTGGGGTGGTCTGATGAATGCTTATGTTCGTGCTTATTTGAAGCCATTTCTGCCACCTTAGGCCCGGATAAAGTTGAGGAAACCTATCCAGACCTCTCCAAAGTTTCTACTGATTATCATGACCTCAAAGAAGTGTCTAATAAACTCAAGGCCACTTATTTACCACCTCATAGACTTTATGACCCATTGATTTAATCCCCAGTTCCACAACTACCAAGGGAGGTTTTTACTCTTTGTCAGGCTATGCAGAAATACATCAGTGAGTCCTTACAGGCTGGTATCATAAGGCCCTCAACATCCCCCACTGGGGCAGGTTTTTTTTTTTTGTAGGAAAGAAGGATGGTTCACTTAGACATTGCATTGACTACTGACGAGTAAATAAGGTCACAGTAAAAAACAAATACTCTTTGCCACTCATGACCTATGCTTTTGATCTTATTCAGGGTTCCACGATCTTCATAAAGTTGGATCTACATAATGCCTACCATTTGGTCCACATCAGAGAGGGGGATGAGTGGAAGACAGCTTTTAATACGACTACAGGACAATATGAGTATCTTGTTATGCCTTTCGGCCTGTCCAATGCCCCTGCTGCGTTTCAAAATCTTGTTAATGATGTTCTGAGGGATATAGTAAATCAGTTTGTTTTTGTTTATCTGCATGACATCCTCATTTTTTCTAAGGACCTAAGCACCCACTAAAACACGTGAGAACAGTGTTATTAAGACTCGTGCAGAACAATGTATTCGTTAAGGCTGAGAAGTGTGAATTTTACCAAAGACTTCATTTCTGGGCTTTAACATCTCACCCAACCAAGTTTTCATGGACCTTGCCAAAGTCTCAGCAGTCTTAAACTGGCCTACACCTAAGGACAGGAAACAATTGCAGATATTTTTACGTTGTGCAAACTTTTATCATAAGTTTATTAAGAACTATAGACTGATCTCTGCTCTTTTACATGCTCTCACATCTGTTAAAAACAAGTTATTGTGGAACAACCACTCTAAGGCTTTGTTTGTAAAACTAAAGAATATGTATCCTTCATTCCCCAGATGCTGAGTGACAGTTCATTGTGGAGGTGGACACCTCCAACACAGGAGTAGGTGCTGTTCTCAGCCAACACTTTGATGGGAAGATTCACCCATGTGCATTCTTCTCCAGGAGACTGTCAGCTGCTGAACGTATCTACGACGTTGGGGAACGAGAACTGTTGGCTGTCAAACTGGCTCTGGAGGGGGCCAATGAACCCTTTAAAGTCTGGACTGACCATGAGAACTTGGACTACTTAAAGACGGCTAAAAGACTGAATGCCAGGCAAGTCAGGTGGGCCCTGTTTTTCTGCCATTTTGATTTTATACTTTCTTCCAGGAGCCAGGAACACCAAGCCTGATGCCCTGTCCAGAGTTCAGGACAGAGCTAATGAGAGTCAGGTCAGCAAGGAGGTGGACTTCATTCTGCTTGAAAGAGTGCGACTGTCAATCACTCAGTTGGAGGAGGAGATTAGACGGGCCCATCAGACTCAACCACCACCCACTGTCTGTCTTAAGGGCCGAGTGTTCGTCCCCGAATCCCACGTATAAAAGGTACTGGAACTCTGCCATCAGTCTTGGCTTTTTTGTCACCCAGGTATCAGTAAGACCTTGGCAGTGGTGAGGGCTCATTTCTGGTGGAGAAAGTGGGTTACCAATGTCAACGAGTTTGTCTCATCTTATCGTCAGTGCGCTCAGGCCAAGTCATTTTGTCACCCACCTGCTGGCCTTCTATGACCGCTCTCCATTCCTTCATGCCCCTGGTCCCACATCTCCATGGATTTCATCACTGGACTCCCCACATCTTCGGGTAACACTGTAATACTCACCATTGTTGACAGGTTTTCAAAAATGGTTCATCTTGTCCCCCTCAAGAAGCTCCTATCTGCTCAAGTGTTGGGAGAAGTCCTGGTCCATGAGGTTTTTTGCCTTCATGGTCTGCCAATGGACATTGTCTCAGACCGGGACCCCCAGTTTGTATCCCATTTTTGGAGGGAGGTCTGTAGCCTCTTGGGCATTTTGGTCAGTTTCTCTTTTGGTTTCCATCCACAGACTGACGGCCAGAGAGAGAGGGCAAACCAAGACACTGAGACCAAGCTGCAAATATTATATGAGGAGGACCCTACCAAGTGGTCAGTCAACCTCCCCTAGGTCGAACATGCGATCAACTCCCTACCCTTCTCCGCTAATGACCTTTCACCTTTCTACACAGTCTATGGGTTCCAACCACCAGTGTTCACCATCCAGGCCAAGACTGCTGTAGTTCTTTCAGCTCATAGAGCTGCTTTCAGATGCCAACAAGCCTGGAGGAGAGCCAAGAGGTCCCTCACAAGAATGTCCACTGTTTATTATGAGTGCCAACCGTCATCGCACCATAACCTGCCATACCAAGTGGGCCAGAGGGTCTGGTTATCCACCAAGGACCTCCCCCTCTGTGTGGAAAGTTGTAAGTTGGCACCTCATTTTGTGGGACCCTTCCCCATCTCTAAGGTGGTGAACCCAGTGGCCGAACGCCTACAACTTTCCAGCTCGCTAAGGATCCACCCCACTTTCCTTGGGTCACGAGTCAAG